GTGCTTCCCTGGCAAGCGCAAGGGTCTGAGTTCAATCCCTGGTTCTGCCAAAAAAGAACAATTTTTTTTTTTTAAGACTCAGAATTTTATTTTTTTTTTATTTTTTGGCGGAACCGGGGATTGAACTCAGACCCTTGTGCTTGCCAGGGAAGCGCTTATTCTACTGAGCCATCTCCCTGGCCCCCCAAAAAGAAAAAAAGAAAACAAACAAATAAATGCCTGATCCTTGTAGAACTCATTCTAGGGGAAAGGTAGGTGTGAATCCAGCATTCCTCCAGACACTGTCCAATTTTCCTCACAACATTTTTAAGAGCAGCTCTTGTTCTGTGATTTGAAAAATCCCTTCATCATGTGCTACATTTCTTGTCAATTTTTAAATTTTTAGTCTATTTTTTATTATTGGTCTTGCTTACATTTCAATATAAACTACATCGATTTTGTTTCACTTTCAAAAAGCTCCCTTGACATTTTCTTTGGGATAGCCCTAAATTCACAGCTGTACTTTGGAAGACCCCTGCTTTGTGACGGATCACCTGTCACATCTGGGACAGAGTGCGCCAGAAGGGAGCGGACTTCCAACCCTCTGGAAATGCTTCTGGGGCCAGGTCCTCGGTGATGCCTGAGGCCCTCGAGTGCGCACAGCTAACCTCCAGGCTGGCGGACCTCCAGGCTACCTCCCGCGCGCCTCCTTTCCACCTGCCTCACCAGCAAGGTGTTTGAGCTGTGCACCTGTCCACCTACAGGCCCTTTGGTGGCAAGGGTTGCAAATAGAGGATCACACGGGGCTTCTAGGCATTGACAAGGAGGAGAAAAACCTTTCCTCTTCTCTTTACTTCTATAGATACGGGCCGGGGGCTGGAACTCAGTATCATGATGCACTTACTATGGGGCTCTGGCTAAGGTGACACATGCGGGGGACAGAGCGGGCTTCCAAGAGGGTGGAGGTGCAGAGTTTGTCTCCACGTGGCCTGGCAGCAGGCTGTGGTTTGCTGCGAGTGAACAGGAGCAAGTCGGGGTGAACAGATGGTAGGGTCAGGTCCAGGTCCATGGTGGGACCTAAAGGTATGAAAAACCTTCATGTATTTGGGGAAGAAGTTGTAGCACAATAAGTATAGCTGTTCAGAAATATACCTGAAGCTCAAAAGTTAATAGAAAAAGGAGAACTTTATACAAAATGTGGCTCTCTAGCCGGTACCCCTACTCAAGGTGGGATCACAGCAGAAATAAGGGTCCCCTCGGTCTTGGAAGCTGTCTGCAGGTTGAACAGTGAGGGGCTCTGGCCTCAGGGAGGTACGCTGCCTCCCCCAGCTGACCTCCTTCCCTCTGGAAGTGCTGCCTACAACCACCCATCTCGGGGGAGGTACAGTCTGTATTGCTTTTTGTCCGAAGTAAAAGAGCCATTAATGTAAAAATGGGTCCTAACAAATATGTAAGTATAGAAAGGCAAATAATTTTATATGCTTAACTCAGATGCTGCCTGGCTTTTCTTGCTTCAAGGGAAAGCTTAGTAATAAACCCCAAGTTTGCTCTGAAGTGTTCTCATGTGTGGTAGATGGACAGGCCCACATCCCTATGGCAACCATCTCTAGATGGGAATAGAATAAGCGGTGCACCCTGATGGTGTCCCAGGATCCAGAATGTCTCCTTGTTCTTGACCTCCTTCCAGCAGGTCCCAGGACCTCATGTCCACTTCTCTGGGGCCCTTGCCTCCACCCCTGGAAGAGGCACAGACCTTGCAGAAGAGTGGACTGCCCCTCACTGCTATTGCTGCATTAGCAGGAGCTGGCTGGAGGCCGACGATTACTGGGTAGGTGCAGGGGTGCCAGCTGCACCCTAACCAACCCCAAGTTCAGAGACAGCTCCCCTCACTCCACAAAAGTATTTTGAAACCCACTCCCTGGAATCCAGGCCCAAAAACATGAGCTCAGAGGAGAGAGAGCTCCACATCGCTTGAGGCACAGACCCACTTCTGCCTACAGGACAGGACCTTGTGCTGACATTCTGGTACTATCTCTTAGAGTGAAGACTGCACAGTCAGTCGGAGCACACTTTACAGATGAAAATCATGGGTCCCATCGCAGACGTCAGATGACAGTGGCAGGGCCTAAATCTGCAGTGTCCATGCCTCCTTGGAGTCAGAAGTTTGGGTCTTGAACATTCTCTTTTGGAGACCTCAGAGCTAGTCTGAGCTTCCCAGCCATGTAAAGAAGGGGCTGGGACTACACCTTTCCTCTGTCCTCCAGGTCTCAGCTCGTGGTCTGTGGCATGCTGCAGGTGTGGTCCAGTTCCTCACTCAGGGTGTTCCCCACCCAGCAATGTGATCCAACTGCATAGCAAGGCCTAAACTGGGCCCTCCCAATCTTGGTCTCAGGAACAATGAGATTTTCTGGGCCCTGGCTTCTCTGGTGTCACTTCAAGGACTAGCAGTCTTTGCTTTCTCATTTGCATAACCAAATGGTTGGGTGACGTGGTTTCAGTGGAACGGCATTGTCTGCACACTGCATCATTTTAGACAGGCAACAGTGGACCTCCTGGGAAGTTGTGGGTGGATCTTTTGGGGACAACAATACCCAGACCACAAGTGTACACTGGAGCGGTTCCAGCCAATCAGTAGCAGGGCTCACACTCCTAGTGAGCCACGGATGTATCCTTGTTTTCAATTGTCTGTGTGCTTTAAGAAATTGGACAAAAAGTCAAAAGTTTGTGGGATTGGAAGTGTGGTTCATGGTAAAACACAGATTCAGAATGCATGAGGTCCTGACCTCAACCTCCAGAACCCTCAAAAAAGTTAAACATAGGAGTCAAGATTTCCATTCATTCTGGAAAAATCCCAAAGACTGAGGACGCCAGCCCTGCTGCCTCCTCCCAGCAACAGTGGCTCTGGAGCTGAGGGTTGGCTGCCCTGTGAACCTGGCACCTGTGTGGAGACCCTGAGGGAGTGTCTGAGGCACCTCATGCCATGCTGTCTACCTGTCATCTTCTGACACTCAGCTCCCTCTGCCGGCTGTGCCCTCAGGGAGCAGGACTGGAGTGCCCACTGTGCCCTGGCTGAATGTCCCTTTACATGTCCAGGCAATTTGGGAAGAGCCTCTCTCTGTACCCTCTGTCAGACACCTGACCTGGCATTTTCCCCTTTCTCACCTGGGCTTGGCCACCTGGTGTGCTTCTCCTGGAAACTTGGCACCCAGGGCTGTGTGCATGTTGTCACCTGAGCTGTTCCTTCCCTATAACTCTGTTCTGCCCACGCAGCCGGGAGCAGGAGGGGCAGCTTCCCACTGCACTGCCAGCAGTCTGGCCTAGAGAGTATCTTTTGCCACTGGGGGCACCGGGATCCTTTCAGGGTCCTCCACCTGCTCCAGGCCCAGGATGAAATGCCTCCGCATCTCGCTGAGGAAACCGTGCTGTGGTGCGGCTCTCCTCTATATACCTCATCACAGGATTGTTCATTGGGCTTTAGCGTAAAGCCAACAGGCAGAGGGTGGTGGACCTGCGGCAGCCCACCCCAAAGGCTGGCGCCACGCAGGCTGAACATCCCAGCTGTCAGGATGGTGAGCCGCTGAGCTTCTCAGCTTCATACAATCCAGGCATTTTATTATAGCAACACAAAATGGACTAAGAACACACACACACACACACACACACACACACACACAGAGTGAAGTGCAAGCAAACAAAGTTAAACTCAAGCCCTCTGTGGAGACCATTTACAATGCAGATGAGATTAAGCCCAAAGGGCACCTCCCTCTTCCGTACCCCACCCACCTCTCCAAACCCACTGCCCAGTCGTGACTTTAGGATTTGTTCCAGCAACAGGGGCTTAGACAATATTTGCCTCTGATCTAAATAGAAGTCCAGAGCCCTGGGTATAGGCATCTCCCAGAAGGCTTTTCTTACAATTTATTGCCATCTAGTCCCTTACTTGCCCTTAGGTTCTGGTGGTGGAGAGGAGGAAGGAGCTTCTCTGAAGATGCAAAGATAGCTTGGGGTGGGGGACACTGCAGGAAAGCAAGGTGCTGGGGAGGTGACAGAGCCCCAGGATAGGAGCTGGGACCCACAACCTGAGAGTGGACACCACCACTCCCAGTGTAGGCTTAGTGGCCAGGGAAAGTGCTTCACAGGAGGAAGAAGTTCCTGATTCAAGGCACGGAGCTTAGACAGCCAGCAAATGTTCAGCAGCTCAACACCAAATGCTAAGTTAAAACAGGTAGAAGATTGCCTAGAGATGATGTGATTCCAAGCAGGCAAGGTCTGTTTCTGTGTGTTTACCTCTTTACCGACACTCAGATGTGAACAGGAGAATCCAATGTGAAGTATACAAAGTCCACTTAACTTGTCCTTTCATCAGAAGCTATATTGTCCCTCTGTTCCTTAATGAAACTGTGTTTCTCTTGTATCAACATGTTTACACTGAAACAAAGACAAAAATGCTACCAAGAGGTACCTGAAGCTGGTCTTTGACTAAAAGGGTCTGATTCCTGGGTCATTAGAGACCTGTGAGGAAGAACGCTTTGGAGCCTGTGTTGCTCCACAAGGAGCCAATTATCTGTTTGTGAAGAGTTCTAAGTGACTCATAATGTCGGGGGTTAAAATCCTCCTATTTCATCACAAGCGAGAAAAGGCATGTGCAGTGGCTTCCTGGGGTGCCTGCTGGACTTTGGAGTTCTGGATGCAGGAATGTTGAGGTTGCTCAGGCAGTGGGCAGAATGATCCCCCAGGTGACCCCCAGGAGGCTCCCCAAGGGCATAGCTCCCAGGTGGCCACGTAAGCCCTGCCATTTCAGCAGCACTCCAGCCTCCTGGGGTATGGGGTGGTGAAATCTATTTGTCTTCCTAAAGGAGTGAGGCCTTCTTATGGTGACCTCATCTTTGTTGTCATTAGATCCCTATCTGTATCTCTCCCCTCTTCTTGTTGAGGTTCAGAATACAGACTGCAGTTCAGGACATAGGACCTGGTAGTAAAAATAAATCATTCTAAAATGTCTGGTTTTACCCTGACCACAGCTAAATGCCCCTTTATGCCAGGCTGTGTCTCACTTGTCCTCCTTCAAAGGGACAGGGCCAAATCTTGCTTCTGCTCAGGCCTTTCTGCTCTCCGAAGAGCTTCCTGTTTGACTGACACTGAAAAAGAAGGCAACACTTCCTGTTTTAAAAGAGGAGAACTTAAGATTTGATTTCAGCAAATTTCATATTAGCAACTTTGAGTATTTATTCCAGTGGCAAAGAGAAATCTGTAGGAATAACTCAGCTTCTGAGTACTATACTGACATTAACTTTTGATTCAGACTTTCAAAGGCCGGGGTTTCCACCCCCACTCCAGCTGCTCTTTAATTTCACCAGTTCCTGGCTCTTTGCTTACTGTAGAATGGGATTTTGAATGCTTCTGGCAACTAGGTGTTATTAGTAAGGCATGGTGCTTTGTTATTAGATTGCATTTTATTATTTCCTTCAGCTCAGTGTGTACCTGATATTGGAAACTCTCCCTGTGGGTTGAGGTTGAGAGATGCTGCCAATGATGTGGATTTATTATTGGGGGGGGGCCTTGGCAACCAGCTGGGAATCCAGGCTGTGTGGCAGGCCAGCTTTACCTCCTTCTGGCTGGGACAGTCCAGTGTTCATGCACTAGGAGCCGCTGATGGCTATGTGTGTCGGTGCCACAGGAGATCAGTAGGCATTTAACACAGATTTCCTGGCCTCTTCGCACAGTGGGTCCAGTTTACCATCACCTCCTAGGGAAACAGACACAACTACTTTTGTACAATTTGATGTTTTATGAGATCCACCTAGGGCTTCCACCAGGCAAACATTTCCCAAGGTCCCAGGAATGCATGTTGCAAGCCAGCCTCGAGTGGGTGGCACAAGCGTTTCTTTCTGAGCATGGGGAGGCATGTGCATGCTATCCTGCCAGGTCAGAAGCCCCAAGGCCAGGACTCCTAGAATGCCACAGATAATGCTGCATGAGGCAGACACATAACTCCAGTGGTCTCAGCAAGTCTAGACCAAACAAACTAGTGGAACAAAAGTTACACTGAAAGTAGATAATAATAAAGCACACATTATTAAAGTGGAGAAAAACAATTATCATCAAATTCCATCACCTATTGAGAGTCAGGGCTTAACTCCTTTTTTTCCTCAGCTGTTTCCAGAGTCTGGAAAGAGGTCAGAGGGACAAGCCCTCGACTGTGTGTGGTCCCACATCTGCTCTGTGGGCCATAGTATGGGGCTTCTGGTGTGAAGGAAGAACTCAGAAAGAAACCTAGCTTGAAGCTGTGCATGGCACTGTGATCATTTGAACAGAAGTGGGGGCTTCTGGGAGAAGGCAATGGGCTGGCCAGAAAGCTCCTGCAAAGGAGGCCTTACCGAACTCCAAGTCTGTGATATTGCACTGGAAGACGACGTCCTCATTCACTACAAGCTCTACCACATTCCACTCTTCAATCTTCTCTAGGGTGACCTTATGTCCATCTTTAGCCAACACAGCTGGAAAATGGAGAAGAAGGCTGTGACATGGGGACAATTAATCTGATGTGCAGGTGCCCTACTGGACACAGCAGCCTGGCTCCTCTGTGGACCCTGCTGGCTATATGTCACCATCTGTTGGGACTCCCTGGTGCTGGTCTCCGTGTGCCCTCCCCTTCCTAAGGAAGCATAGCCATATGTCTGCATGACACTGATCAGCACTCAGAATCATCCCAGGCTCATAGGATCCACTGGACAACGATCTTCCTCTGTGAAGGGTGATTAGGCTGTCCACAGGCTTAATCTTTTGGACACCATGCTTCATGTGAGGAGACCCAAGAGCTAGGAAACTTCTTGCCCTGTCAGTGGAAATATAATTAGTAGCCTTTCTGAAGAGCAATTATCAGGAAAAAGACCCCAACCACAAAAAACTAACAAACAAACACCAATTCTAGTGTTTGGCCCAGGAAACTGCATTTAAAAGAAAATTCTATATGGAAACAAGTCAGAAATAGCAGCAGATTTTTGCAACAAGATAACCTTTCATATTATTAGAAATGCAAAACTCTATGAATGATAGAAAATAATAAAAAGATGGTCAAGTAAACAGTGGCGTGTCCCTGAGATTTTATTTGAACCTTTAAAAATCTTTCGAAATAGCAGAAATAATATGCATAGTAGAAATAAAAAATTAGGATGTAAGTATGTATAATACATATTAAAATATATTGCCAATATTAATTAAAATGTATGTAAGAAAGAAGAAAAATATCTTATCTGAGGTGAAATTATGTGAAACTCTTTCTCCTCTTTATACATTTGGCATTTTCTAAGAAGTCTACAATCATGAGGAAAAAATTCTTTTTAAAAGGGAAATGGTCTGGCTTTTCCTTCTCCCCGCTGGTATCTGCAGTCTGGTTACATCTTCTACCCAGTGGCTCCTTTGTTCCCCAGAGATCATCACGGCAAATGGCTAGATTTCATCTGCAAGGTGGAATTGTGGGTGCACAGTTAGGAGGGGTGGCACGCCTTGCACAGCCTGCAGGTCTATGCCCTCCAGGGCGCTGCTGCCCAGTTTTTTTGGGGTGCTCATCCTAGACTTGGGCATTGAAGTGGGGCTGCTGAGTCACTGCCTTCAGCATCTGCAGAGGCCACTGATAACTTTGGTTTGACGGAAATCAGGCGAGGGATGTGTTTTCTAAGGTCTGAGTGTTTCAATCAGTCTTGGGTGGAGAAAAGCAGACATTGATGTCAGTTAATTGCATTTAATTACAGAGACAATTGCTGTTTCAAAATGTTGCTGTGTCCACTTCTTCAGCTTTCAATCAGTTCAAGAACCTCCAACCCTGACTGTGAGCGTTTTAATTGCGTGATTTTAATTTCACTTCTGGAAAGAAGCTTCAGAAAGACCCAGTGAGGGTCTCCATTAACGCCACAGCACTCCTTGGGCACCCAGTGGCAGTCCAAATTGACCTGCATCAGCAAAGTTCCCTCTTTGAAGATGCCTGGGTTGTTTTCTTCAGCATATTTATGTTATTATGTCTTGGTTCAGTGTCTCATTCTTAAACACCTTCAAAGAAGGCACTGAGTTTGGGCTGATGACTTGTTTCCAAGACACAGTCCCTTGGGGGAATGGCAGCTGCTCAGAGGGTCCCCTGCATCAGTGGGGGAGAAGAGATTTCTGAGTCACATGTACCCTGTGGTGCCCCAGGACAGAGCAGCTGAAGGTGGGGAAGTAGAACTTGATCTTTGTGACCTTTAGTTTGGCACCATTTAGAGCCACTTCTGGGGTGAGGGTTTCTATCTGGCAGGAAGAACTCGGGAGCAAACATCTTCTCGACCTCCAACATTGCACCCCTGCCTTGGGGCCCAGGGGAGATTATTCTGCTCTTAAAACCCAGGCTCACTCTGACTGTACTGGGTCTGAAGCTTGCTTTAGGGAGACAGGGTTACTCCTCCAAGGCACAGGGTAGCTAAGAAATAGGACCCACCAATAACCCACCCTAAGGAGTTGGTGGTGGTAGTGCTCGGTGTCCCTCATCCAGGAGTAAGTGCAGCCCAGCGGGAGAGCATCCTCTTAGGAGGACCCTCTGCTCTTTCCACTTCCAGGGCTGCAATGCCCAGACTCTCATGGTCCCTGTAGGCCTGTGCCTTCTGCCCTGACCACAGTACCATGGTACCCTCCCCTAGTGTCTAGTGTAATTTAGCTCCCTAGATAAACAATCTCAGAATGAGACTGGGTGTCACCACTGATCCGTGGGCCCAAGTGACCCAAATCTAATCTACAGTAGCGTGGTCACTGCCCCAGAGTCCTCTTCTGATGGATCGAGGATGTGCCGAGCCTGGTTGTGGGTGTCCAGGGAGGTTTAAGGGATCAAAGCAGCAGCAGCCCTGGAGTTCCTGCAGTTCAAGCAAATACCACCGCTCCGGTGGGTCACCCGGTCTCCTGGAGCTGCTGTGCAGCTGGATATTCAAAGAAAGGTCAGACAGATCCACTCCCCGAGACAAATCCTGGGCAGACTGTGCAAAGCCTCAGCATCAATCAACCCAAAGCTGTAAAGCCACCCACAGAGTGCCTGCCTCTTTGGAGTGGCACCTCATTCTTCAGGGGCAATCTGGACAGCATGAGGGTTCATGGAGAAGGCTCTGTCCCCTTGGTGCAGGCAGAACAGCACACCATCTATAGGGGGTTAAATGCTGCTGGGAGTCAAGGTGTGGAGACAGCCTTTCCTTCCTCAGCACAGATGTGGTGCCAAAGACCATTACTGATGCAGGTGTGACTTGGCTAAACAAACAGTTCTGTGTTAGAGGTGACCTAGCCCCAGCTCCTTCCAGCTCAAATACAGCATGCAAAGCACAACCATGGCTGAGCAATTTCACAGAACTCACTGCTAAGCTTAATTTCATCAGCATTGAGGCTGGAGTGGAGACATGGTTGCTGAACTACTATAATTCATGGATACTAGAGAGCAAAAGTTACAGACTGCTCAAGACGTGGTAAGTTTGGAACAGAGCAGGCATGTCTCCAGACAATCCAAGAAGCAATGAGGGACTGTGACTTTTCTAAGTAACACGCAGCACTTAGATGCAAATGTCACTGCAGACAGCTTGCAAGTAGACCTGCTTGCTGTGACAGGAGGGGTGGGTCTGCAGTGGGGGTGAAGGGTGAGGAGACAGGTGGGGTGTGTGTGCTTTCTGCTCTGCTGCTGCTAAGCCCTGGTCCCTATCACTGTCCCAGGCAAGTTTGACAGTGGTGTTGGATGCGTTATCATACAGGATGTAGAGCTTACTTTATGCATCAGCCACCTGCTGGCATCTTGTTGTCCTCAAGTTTCCTTCAGCCACAAAAGAAAAAAAAAAAATAGCACCTCCAGGAGAGGCAGCAGGCTGGCCCCAACACTCCTGACCTCCTGCCAATGTGCTCAGTGAGATCCTGAAGCTCTGCATGTCCAGGAGCTCAGCTTGTCTGTCTCTCTCTGACCCATTTCTCTTTTTCTTGAAAATACTTTTGCTGATAAAAAGTTTGAGTCAAGGTATTACAACGTAGTTCAGGCTGACTTCTGTGTACCCTAGGCTGGCCTTTGCATGCACGGCAATGTGCTCCTGCCTCAGCCTCCTGATTATAGGTGTTCACCAGGCCTGCATAGAAAAATGTTTTATCTCTCAAATGTTATTAGATTGTAAGTCTAATGCAGGTCATGTGCACCTGGTACTTAGGAACATGCTTAATTCTCATGACAATAGGCCTGGTGACCTAACTCTGTCTGTACATGTAGCACTTTCAAGTTATTTTTCATGCCTGCTCTGTTTTCATGGGTATGTTGCATTTCACATGATGTATGTAATGTGATTCATTTAGCCGTGTCACTTTCTGGTTGTTTCTAATTTTCACAGTTACCAAGAACATCACAAACAGTAAACACCATGGCATGCCCTCTTGTGCCAGTGTTTTCAAAAACAAGATAGATACTTAGAATCAGGACGGTTGGATTTTGCAATGTGGGTTACTTAAAGGCCTCTGCCATGGGGCCCTCCCAGGTCACTGTCCTATTTGCCTTCCATGGAGAGTGCTGACAATACCCAATCTCTGCATCTTTCACCAGCCTTTACTGGTCTCTCTGGAGAGTCCTGCTCTGCAAGTTAGTGTCCCATGGCCGCTTCAACTGGCACGGACACACGATGAATGCTGAGTTATACCATCATCAGCCTTCTGGAAACCTGGCTCACCAACCTTGTGGCCCCAGGTCCCTTCCCCTCGCTGTACTTGCCCCTTCTCTGGTTTGTCTTCATCACTCTCTGCCCCGGAAAGGCCCTCTGTAAGACTGCTCCTGCCTGTCTTTCTTGTGCATCTTTCTCATCTTCTGTAGCTCCCTGAGGGTCTGTTTACTTCACTAATACTTCTCAGCCCTCCACTGCACCATGAACCTGCTGTGGCTCCACCCAGTAAGGAAAAGGGCAATCAGGAATCTGCCTGTGCAGCTTTAGTGAAAGTGGGGGGAGAAGGATAACAAGGTGGATGGGTGGAACCCGCATTGCATTAGGTACTGCTGAGCACCAGGAAGATGAGAAGAGAAGGAAATCAGGAAGCACTGACAGTTTAGGAGGAGATACTCAGGAAGACCTGTGCTGAAGGGGACTTCTGAGGACACATTGAGGGCTAAGTGGTGAAGGGAGCTTTCTAGCCCAGCAACCAGGAGCACAAGGGTGTGTTCCAGGGGGAGCTCCAGGGTCAGCCAGGAGGGGGTATGGTGAGCAGAAGATCCAGAGGGTGGGGCAAGTTGTGAGGGGACAGGATGGGTAGGGAGGGTGCATGGCAAGGGGAGGAATGAGGTCAGGGAGGCCTGAGGAGCCTGGTAACTCTCAGAAGTCTTTGGCTTATGCTCTGGGAGCTGCAGGAGTATTCTCGGAGGAAAAGCCTATGCTCACACTTAGCTTCACCTGGCTTTGGTGCTGAGAGCAGACTGCAAGGGGCCAAGGATGGCTGGTCACAGGGAGCCCAGGCATGAGTCCAGGTGAGATCC